CCCCCCCAGGCACCCCCTCCCTCCGCCCAAAAAAAACATAAACTTCCACCTCTTCCAACAGCTGGTTCCAGCAGGGAGCATATGGGTCCCTCCCTCCTTTTCGCCCCCTTCCTCCGAGCTCCTACTTCGCTCCCAGAGCCTTTCCCACCCTTTTCCTTTCCCTTCTTTCCTTCTCTCTCCCTTCACCTGCCGCGATCCCTCTCCCTCTCTGCTTTCTACCAATATCTCCTCCAGTCCACCTTAACTGGAGCTCCGCCTCCGACCCCCGGCCAGCCCTCTGCTGCTGTCCAGCTCCACCCCCTGCACGCCACCGCCCTGCCCGCCCATTGGCCTGAACGCCCGCCTATCCCATTTGGGACGCGCCTAGGGTTCATCCAGGGAGGGGGTGGAGCTTGGGGCTGGCCTGAAACCAGAAGGGGAGGGAGGCCGAAGACAGTGTCCGCAGTGGCCAGGGAATGGAGCAGCCCCCTCGGGGACTTCCTCTCCTTCGAGAGGGGCTTCTGTGGGGTCAGCACCTGGGAGAGGAAGGGTATAAGAGGTTACGGATAGGCTGCGTGGGGACGAAGACCTAGGATTTAGAAATAGTGGGGTCCCGCTAGGGCCTTTAATCAGGTCAGGGCCCCAGGAGGGAAGGGGAGAAGGCCACTAGACGTTGCGCTGCGGCCCCTGGGCCCATCCCCCGCCTCAGAGGGAGCAGAGGAGTTGAGGTTGCTGGCACTCTGTGTCCCTCCCCACGCGTGACGGCGCCCCGCGGGGAGGGAACAGTGCCCGGGGCAAGGAGCCTCTGCGCTCTCGCCAGTGCGCGTTGCTGCCTTGGCATTTTCAGAGGGGAGGGACCGAGTCTGGGAAGGGGAAGGGGGAGGTGCGCTCCCTCCGGGGCTCCGGCTCTCTGCCTCCGTCCTGTTTGTTCTTTTAGCGGAGAAACCGAGACCCCCGTAGTGCAGGGGATGCCTTGACGCAGTTTCTCTCAGACATCCAGGTGGCGATAGAGGCCTGAGTGTCTTAGGATGTCTGCCTGTGAGTATTCGGGAAGGATCAGCATTCGTATTTCAGTGTCAACAGAGAAAGGTAGCCTCTCAGGGACGCTTCCAGCAGGCCCGGCGGTGCTGCGTACCCCAGAAGGGCCCCTCCCACTGGTTTCAAACGGAATCAAATCCCGCTCTTTAGGGCCAGGTTCGGCTTCTCATCAGCGGGCCAGGCCGAACCGGGCCGGACTTGTTCTCCCTTCCCAGCCCCCTCCGCAGGGGGCCGCCCTCCCTTTCCAGCAGGTGGCTCCGCAGGACACCAGCTCAACCTGTTGGACCACAATGGGCGGCGCCAGGGGGCCCCTGGCCCTCACCCGGGCTGACCCGGGATCCCCGAGCAGGGGGAGGGGCGGAGTCCGTCCTTCCCTCCCTCTTTCTCGCTCTCCCCCTGACGTGACTCAGCCTCGAGGCCGCTGCTCTGCCCCTCAGCCAGGGGCGGAAAGTGTGAGGCGCCCCGGAGCGCCGAGGCCAAACCAAACAGCCCCCCATCCCAGACATTATCTCACTGGAGAATTAGGGGGGCAATAGGGACCAGTGGATGGCAGTAGGCTTGGAGCTCTGGCTCAAGTAATCCGTTCCGGGTTTTCCTATCGTTTCTGTCTTGTCGCCCCTGTGTTCACCCCCCCCCCCCCCCGTCAAGTCTGATCTTTGCTCCAGGTTTTCTTAGCGGGGGTTTTTTCCCCTGCCTTGCTGTCAGGGTCTCGCTGACCAGGGAATGGGCCGTGGCAGGGGCAAGGCGGCTAAGATGCCTAAGTAAAATGGAGGGGAAACTGCCTTCACGAGAGGGGGTACAAGACCTAGGGAAAGGGTTTGGGAGAGGGTGGGAAAGTGGCCCAGGTCTCCAGAAGGGCGAGGGTCTTGTCGCCAGCTTCTCGGAACCCAGACGCAACACATCTCTGCTGTCCCCCTCCTCTGCCACTGGAGTTGCGTCTGACTGGACACAACCCGGATCCTTCTGTGGCGGGATTGCCGCTCTCCAGCCGTCCTGGGAAATCTGTTAGTTCCTCGGTGGCTCTTTTCCATGTTTTTTTTTTTTTCTTGTGGTACAAATAGTTCTCTTTCATGTTGTGGGGGCACCGACTTTGGGTCCTAACTGCCAAACCAGGGATAAGAGAAGGCCGAGAAGAGCTGTGGGACCCCGCCCCCTTGTATGGAGCCTGCCCCCATCCCAATCTCCCATACACCTGAACTGGTCCTGGGAACTGGAGGACAAGTGTGGGGCCTGCAGGGTCTCCTGGTGAGCGTCACCCCCCCCCACACACACACACATACTCCGTCCTCACTCCCAGACTTAAATCTTCAAGCAACTTTCTAGATTCTAGAGTTTAATGTATGAGGAAAGTAGTGAGTAAATACCCCGAGAGTGAGGTGTTTGTCCTGACGAGGATAAAAGCCCTAGCAAGAAGGACTTTATACCTAAGGCTGGGGACAGCGACTCTTGAGTGGCGGCCTGGTTACGAGACTGGTCCAAGTTCACTGAAGAGTGTGGTTGCTGAGCAGTTGCAAAGCTTGCAGAGTCCTGGAGGAAGGGTGCAGTTGGCTGCTGGAGGCTCTTCTTGGCAGGGTCCTGCAGTGAGTCTGGGGGCCCGTTTCTGGTCGTGGGGGGTTGAGCTGAAAGCAGCTCCTCCGCCAGCATCAGGCGCCCACCTAGTTCTCTGCTCCCCCGCCCCTTTCCCGCGGCTGCCTCCGCTTCCCTCGAAAAACCCGCCGCCCAGGAAACCACTGGGGGCGCTCAGACCGCAGCCCCCTCCCTGCCGCCGCCCCCCAGAACCTCTGCCGCGACCGCCCAACCCACCTGAAGGGGCGGTGGCTGCCAGGGGTACTCCCTCCCGCCGACTCCCCCCACACCTGCGGGTAGCACTATTTATAACTGCGCGCCTATTCTGGGCCTCTCGACTGGAGCCCGCAGCAGCGCTGTGCTAATCGCCGCTGGGATCTCTGCGCCCCCCAGGGCCGAGGAAGGTAAATTTAGCTTCAGGAAGCTCCGGGGAACATTTTCCAAAACTCCTTGTCCCAGAGCAGGCAAAACAGAACCCCTCTGCGCGCAGCCTGCTTCCTATTCGCCACCAGGTGGCGCAAGGCTCTCAAATCCCAGCCAGCTAAGGGTGTAGGTAGCGACCCTGAAAGCCAGATGGGGTGGATAAGGAGCTGTGGATGGCTACCTAGAAAAGGGGTCAGAGGGCTTCTGCATATGGATGCAGAAATAACTCATATGTAAACGAAATGCAAATGAGAATGTCATTACTCCTCCGGAGAGGTGTCAGTGCCCTGGTGCCTCCAGTGATTGCCAGCTTCTCCTTTCCAGGTGTCTCTTTTGTCTGCTGTGAAAATGTGGAACTAGCCCCCTCAGCCCTCAAACTCATTTTATTGTAACCCCTTTGTTACCTCTGTGTGTCCCGGCTCCATCTCTGTCTCTCACCCTCCACCCAAGGTTCCAAATGGGATGTAATCTACAGAAGAGCTTTTCTCTTGCTGTGATACTTGAAGGTCACTTTTAGCTTATTGGTCTGGTCTGTTCCGTTTCAACTCCAACTATCCCCTACTCCTTATGGCTGCTAGAGGGCCCCAAGGAGCCCAGGGATAAGCGGTAATTCCCCTCTCTGTCTTGGTATCTTTCTTGCTTCCCCCCCCCCACCCTAATCCTGGCATGAGCTCTTGAAGCAATAGTTTGAGTGTTCAAGACCTGAGTAGCTTTTTGTTTGTTTGCTTGTTTTTTTGTTTGTTTTTTTTTTTTCGAGACAGGGTTTCCCTGGGTATCTTTGGAGCCTATCCTGGCACTTGCTCTGGAGACCAGGCTGGCCTCGAACTCACAAAGATCCGCCTGCCTCTGCCTCCCGAGTGCTGGGATTAAAGGCGAGTGCCACCAATGCCCGGCCTGAGCAGCTCTTTTTGGGAGAGAGAAGTTGCCACATTTCCTTTTCCCTTCTAGAAGAATGGAGACGCTTTCCGTCAGGAAAACTATTCTAGTTTGGATGAATTAAACAACAGGCATTTAGATGGAACCTTAGGTTGATCCAAGGAGCAAAGGACACAGTGCGCCTAGAGCTTCAATGGGAAACAGGTGCAGCTTAGGAGGGATGCCTCCATACCACTGGCTCTGCCTCCTAGAGCAATTAAACCATTTCTATCAGAAGAGGAAGGCAGGTTAACAAGGAGCCCTGGTTTTGATTCTCTTTTCTTTTTTACTTAGACAGGAGTCTTTATATTGCCCATGCTGTACTCCAACTCCTAGGATCAAACAATCAGCTCCAGAGTCAGCCTCCAGAACAGCTAGGGGGAAATAGATGTGTGCCACCAGCTTGGCAAGCCCTAAAGTTGAGATCCAAAAATGTGGGTACACTGAAGATGAACATTGTCCTTCTGACCTTGGGATGAATCACTTCACCTCTTTGGGCCTGTTTATTCAAATTCATGTGATACAGTTACCTTTATCACTATCTTGCCTACTTTTGTTGTGTGTGTGTATGTGTGCATGTTTTGTTTGTTGTTTGGTTCTGAGATAGGGTTTCACCTCACTCAAGCCTGCTTACTTTTTGGTGTATTTTTGCTCCAGAGCACACAGACACACGTGGGAAGTCGGAGGACAGCTAGCAGGAGTTCGTTCTCTCCTTCCATCATGTGAGTCCTGGGGATTGAATATATCAGGCTTGACAGCAAGTACCTTTATCCACTGAGCCCTAAAGTATACTTTAAAAAAATACTTGAGCCAGGCACTCAGGAGGCAAAGAGGATCTCTGAGTTTGAGGTCAGCCTCATCTACATAGTGAATTCCAGGCTAGACAAAGCTACATATTGAAATTTTTTTTTAATTATTTTGTCAGCCGGGCAGTAGTGGTGCACGCCTTCATTCCTAGCACTCAGGAGGCAGAGGCAGGTGGATCTTTGTGAGTTCAAGGCCAGCCTGGTCTATAGAGTAAGTTCCAGGACAGCCAGGGCTACCTAGAGAAACGCTGTCTTGAGAAACCAAGATACAAACAACAACAGCAACAAACAATTATTTTGTTTTGAGACAGGGTGGGTTACTCTTTAGCCCAAGCTGGTTTTGAATTTACTATGTAACACAGGCTAGTCCCAAACTGGAGGCAATCCTCTTGTTTTCACCTCCCAGGTACTGGATTAAAAGCATGAGTTACTGCTCTCCTTGGGCCTCTGTCAGTCTTTATTCTGATTTCCTTCGAGCAGCAATCCACTACCTATCCCACCACAGTGCACAGCCCTGGTTGGCCTCTACTTCCTCTATCTGCCACTTCCCTAGTAGTCTTTGCCAAGTATCCTCCGCTCTGGCAAAAGTCTTTGTGCTCTGTTGCCAGACTCTGGGGTCCACTTCTAGGCACTCTGCCCAGCTTAATCTGAGTAGGACTTAAGGAAAAAGAAGGCAGCAGGGCTGGGTGGTGCACACCTTTAGTCCCACATTCCGGAAGCAGAGGCAGTTGGATCTCTGCGAGTTCCAGGATAAGCTTCAAAGCTACCCAGAAGCCCTGTCTCGAAAGAAAAAAAAAAAAAAAAAAAAAAAAAAAAAAAAAAAAAAAGGCAGCAGGCCAGGGCTGAATTAGGGAGGGTAGGAGCTACCTAGGCAGAGTACAGGCTCTAGAGAAAGGAGAGCCCTAGGTTCAATGGGAAGGTGTACGCTGCCTGCCCACATGCAAGCACGCACCAGAAATTTCTCCATGCACCAGAAATTTCTCTTTCTGCAGGGCTGGGGTGGAGAGGGAAGACTTGGAAGGAAGCAGGCAGCAGTTCTGACCTTCATGTTTGGGTGTTTAGAGAGGTACTGAGCAGGTATGGTGGCTTATCCTTCTCTTCCAATCCCAGGACTGGGGAGGCTGAGGCAGGAGGATTGCCACAAGTTTGAGGGCAACTAGGATTACAGAGTGAGAGCTTGACTCACAAATCAAACCAAAGAAAGAAAGCAAGAAAAGGGCACTGTTCGGCAAGCCATAAAAAGCAGTGGTGATTTCTAATAATGCAGAGTTCCAGGCCCACTGCAGCAGATGGGCAGCAGGCTGTTCTGTTATTGCCTGCTCTACGATCGCTGCTGGCGCCACAGTACACTAGTAAATAATCCTTTCTTTTTGAAAAAGAAAAAGGGGGGGGGGGGAAGCACGTATCTGTAATCCCAGCACTCTGGAAGTTTCAAAAAGAAAAAGGAAGGAAGCACTAAATGTTAAGATGTCCTGTACAAAGCTCACACATCTAGTATGTCAACCAACCATATAAATATGTCAGTTCAAAAGCCAGTCATGGTGGACACGCCTGTAGTTCCAGTTTACAGGAGGCTGAGGCAGAGGGGATGGCTGTTACATTCAAGGCCAGTCTGGGCTACATAGTAAGACCCTGTCTCAAAAGAACCAAACCAAACCAAACCTAAACCACACAGAGAATCCAGCCTACTTTTCTCATTTCAGGTCTGACCTGAGCCACCAATATGGATGACCTACATTCTTCTACTGATTACTTCCTAACGGGGCTCATATTGTGCCCTTACTCCATAAAGTCTATTCTCAAATCGGCTCATGTTCACCTTGCTCTCCTTCATTCTAACCAGCATAAAAGCTCAAGTTACAAGGCTCAGTGGTCAAAAGCACATACAGCATGGTGTGTGTTGTTAATTCTGTTCTGATTTTTTTTTTTTTCTCAAGACAGGGTTTTTCTCTGTAGCCCTGGCTGTTATGGAGCTTGATCTGTAGACCAGGCTGGCCTCAAACTCACAGAGATCCGACTGCCTCTGCCTCCTACATGTTAGGATTAAAGGCGTGCCCCACCACTCCCCAGCTACATACTCTTGAAGAGGATCTGAGTTTGATTCCCAGCACTTATATTGGGCAGTTCTGCCTGCAGGTCCACTTCCCTGGGGATCCAGTTCTTCTAGCCTCTGTACCATATACCCACACACAAGACTGAATACACATAATTAAAAACAAAAACAAGGAGCTAGAGAGATGTGGCTCAGTAGTTAAGAACACCAGATGGTCTTCCAGAGGTCTTGAGTTCAATTCCCAGGAGCCACGTGATGGCTCACAGCCATCTATAATGACATCTGGTGCCCTCTTCTGGCCTCCGTGCAGACAGAATACTGCATACACAATAAATAAATAAATTAATCTTAAAAAAAAAACAGAACAAACAAGCAAAGGCCCAAGCTCTAACTTACCCTGCAAGACCTGACATATATTTACCTCCAAATCATTTTCTTGTTTCTCCATCAGCAAAGAATATCCACATACTTCACAGTTTGATGAGGTTTCCTTCCTGCCTATTAGAATACAAGCTCCACTGGTAGGAATAGGGTTTCCTGTTTATCCAAAGCACCCAGACTGGTGATGCACGTCTTTAATTTCAGCACTTGAGGCAGAGGCAGAGGCAGAGGCAGAGGATCTCTGTGAGTTCGAGACCAGCCTAGTCTACAAGAGCTAGTTCCAGGACAGCCTCCAAAGCCACAGGGAAACCCTGTCTCGAAAAACCAAAAAAAAAAAAAAAAACCCTACCTCCAGGTCAGTGTTGTAGAAAGAGGTGGGCAATGGCTAGGCCAGAGTGATAATCAAGAGGAAGGGGGGGCTTGGGGCTTGGGGCTTGGGTGAGGGTGTGATATGTATGAACAAGTTGATACACATATAATGCTGTTGATTCAAGGAAAGTGTATGTTGGTAGCTGCCAAGGGGAAGTGAGGAGCCCATCTTCTCACTCAGACTGTGTGTCCTGATAGAGGTGTGCTGTGATAGGCTGGAAGGGCTGCTGTGACCATATAGCTGTGTCTGAACTGGGACTCTTCCCGCAAGCTGGGGACTGGCTCAGTATGCTCCCCATGTTCCTTAGAGACAGGGAGCTTCCCAGGTCACATCTCCTATTTGGAAAAAGGTTGAGTCTTTGGATCCCTGTCCTAGCACCCTGGGCCTCACAGAGTATGGCTCTACACTTTTATCCATTCTGTCCATATTAACACAGAGTCTGGGAGGAACCTGGCCTTTCTGTTTTGCTCTTCTATCCCAGCACCAGTCAACAAACTTGGTTTTCAGTTTCACTTCTCCAGAGATCTATCCTTCCTTGGCCTGCCTGTACTCTTGCTCTAAAGCCCTTTCCAAGCACACATGTCCTCAGTCCCCTTTAGACATTTAGAAATTCTGGCCTCAAGGCCTATTTATTATATGTGTAGTTCAATGATTACCAGAGATTTTAGGGCCAGTCCATTCCTGGTTCTTCAAGTACATGGCCAGATCAGTCATCTGGGTTGGTAGAGGCTCACGGTGCCAATTTTGGAGGAGTACTACATCCTGCTGCAGTTTCATTGGAGTCTTAGCCAGCAAGCCAAGCTCATGCCTACCAGAAGTACACCAGAGACAGGATGCCCTAGGATGAGGCAAGTCAGACAGATGGACAACTCAAAGCAGGGTCCATAATTTACTCTTCACGTGTTGGTGGTCCATCCTTGGTGAAGGCCAGCTGCCTCTGGGAATCTTAGAGCTATAGAAAAGATGGGAGAGCTAGGCTGCAGGTTCCACCACAGAAGTTGTAGCCACACCTCCTGATATCTGCCCTGCCCTCCCCACCCCACCCCACCCCAGGTTACCTGAGTGATTCAGGTCTTGGTGTGGGTGACAGGTTTCCCTGTCACCACTAATCCAGCAGTTCCTTGATACACCAGCAGCACAGGGCCATGTAGGCAACTTCCTTCAGAGTTTGCTGTAAGCTCTCCCACCGCGTGCCCATCTTAATGACAGGCACCTGGAGACCTGCACCTCGAAGAACATTTCCAAGAGAGAAGGGCAGGGCCTGGGCTAGGGGTTGCATTGGTGGCTTCATGTGGACAGCAGTTCAGTGGAAGGGTGTGGATGCTGCCTTTGGGGCCTTTTATCTACTGTCCCCACCCCACCAGGCCTCATGACTAAAGACAAAGGCTCTAGGGTCTAGCAAAAGAAGGTTCTGGGCCTTGGAACAGGCTGAGTCAGCCCTATAGACAGGGGTGCTGGTGGTTAGAAGGGAGGGCGTGGCCACTCCATCTTTCACCCTCTACAGCCAAGAGAGCTTAACTTCCCTTCAAAGCAGAAGTTCTGTCTGGTTGCCTCCTCCCGTTTGGTGGCTCTGGCTAAGGCTGACAGAGAGCATCCCTAGTTCCCTGTCTAGTATGTTCTAGCCCATCCCTGGGCCCCCGAGTGAGCGCTGCTGGCTCAGAGCTGGCAGCCTTGGTCCACTTCTGCTTCCCTTGACCTTAAAGCAGGAAGGCATGGCCAGAGCAACAGGCACCAACAATGGTGTGTGAGGTACAGTTTACTGACGTGACAGGTTACACCCCATGCCAGCCCCGTCCCTCAGTCTTGTCCAGAGTGTGTGAGATCATGTGCGGGAGTTCCTTTCCTCATCTTCATTCTCCAGTAGGTATGCTGGACGGTAGACAGGGTGTCCTCCTGGGCTCAGGCACTTCAGGGCTGGGTTCTGCATCGTGTTCTCCCGACTCCCCAGTGATGTGTACCTGGAGGGTTGAAACAGGAGCATGTAAATGATAGCTGGGCTCTCGTTATCCCTCCTTATATCTCCAGCATCCTCTCACCCCACCTCCCCCCACACACACACACCAACCTTACCCTCGGTCATATAGTATACAGTAGGGGACAAACAGCTGACGAAGAAAATCCCAGATGTTTCTGTAGGTCCAGTCCTGGGAAATGACAATCAGTCACTAGAAGTCTCCTCACCACACCCACCACTGCCATCCTGGGGATAGACCCATCAGAGGTACTTTTGTTCCCCTGGCCTTGGGGAAGGCTTGCTGCTATCTGGATGGCTGCTGTACCTTGCCCTGTGTGGGCTAAATAGAGAGGTAGGGAAAGTCCTTACCCCTGTCAGCTTCCACTCCCCAGCCACTGCCCCTGTGGTAGAAGCTTCAGGAGGATGGGGAATGACCGACTATGTGTTTAAGTCTAGAGCTTTCTGCCATGGTGGAAGTGTCTATCCCCATGGGCATTTGAAATGTGGCTAGTATAACTTAAGAAGTGACTTTTAGGGCTGGAGAAATGGCTTAGGGATTAAAAGCACTGATTGTTCTTCCAGAGGACCCAGGTTCAATTCCTAGCATCCACATGGCAGCTCACAACCATATGTAACTCTAGTTCCAGGGACTCTGACATCCTCTTTTAACTTCCTCAAGCACCTGGTGTGCACATGGTACTCAAACATACATTCAGGCAAAACACCCATACGCATAAACTATTTGTTTAAAAAGTGTTTTGTTTTTTTTTTTCTTTCCTTTCCTCCTGGCAGAGTCTTACTATGTAGCTAGCTCATGCAGTTCTCAAGATGGCCATCCTCCTGCCTTATCTCTCCACCTGCTGGGAGCTGAGGTATTCACCACTAGGTATGTCTTACACATCTTAGGCTCTTTCTATACAGCTGGGAATGACCTTGAACTTCTGTTCCTCCTGCCACTCCCAAGTCCCCAGTGATATGCACCTAGATTGGTGAAACAGGGCAAGTGGGGAATGGGCAGGCTTGTGTAAGTATGGTGCTACAGACTGAACCCAGGACTCTGTGTATCCAGGGGAGCACACTACCAACTGAGCTCCACACTGCTTTTATGTGGTACTGGGGATTGAACCTAGAACTTTGTACAAGCTAGGCAAGTACTCTACCAACTGAGCTCTTCCCCAGCCCTATTAACTTATTTTTAAATTTTATTTAAGTAAAAAAAAAAGACATTATGAATCACATGCCATAAATTTCACCCTTTGAAAGTAAATAGTCCAGGGCTTTTGTTTTCTTTAGACAGGATTTCACCCAGGCTGGCCTAGAAGACACTGTGTAGGCCAGGCTGGGTTTGAAGTCACATAACCCTTTTTCCTCAGCCTCTTAGTCTTAATCATTAGTATCTTTTTCTTTTCTATTTTTGAAACAGAGTCTGATATGCCTAGTCTGGTCTCAAATTCACAATGTAGTCAAGGCTTACCTTGAACCTTAAAAAAATTGTATGTATTTGTGTGAGTGTCTTTGTGTACTCGCCCACACAGGGAATGTGTGAGGTCAAAGGGCAAGCTGTGGGAGTCAGTTCTTTTCTTCTACCATCTGTGTCCTGGAGATCAAAGTGAGGTCATCTTTGATCAGATTTGGCAGCAAGTGCCTTTAATGTCGGAGCCATCTTGCCAGCTCTGGCCTTGAACTTGTAACTCTCCTGAGGCTGGAATCACAGGCATGAGCCACTGTTCATGATTTTCAGGTGTGCTGGGCGAGCACTGTATCAAATGAGCTACATCCTCAGCCCCATGATCTATATTTCCTTTCTTTCTTTTAAATAATTTATTTTATGTGCATTGGTGCTTTGCCTGCATGTATGTGTGAGGGTGTCAGATCTAGGAGTTGTCATATGAGTGCTGGGAACTGAATCTGGGTTCTCTGGAAGAGCAGTCAGTGCTCTTAACCTCTGAGCCACCTCTCCAGCCCTATATTTCACTTCAATTTCAATTCAAGTATGAACACATGACTACTATCATATTGGTGTGAGGGTGTCAGATCCCCTGGAACTGGAGTTACAGATAGCTGTGAGCTGCCATGTGGGTGTTAGGAATTTAACCCGGGTTCTGGGGATGAGCAGCCAGTGCACTTAACCACTGAGTCGTGTCTCCAGCCTGACTGCTATCATAGGTCCAGGTCACTGTTTTGACCACAGTGAAAAGCACAATGCCTGTCACTGAATTAGTGCTCAATATTGGTTAAAAGGATGAATGAACAAATAGCACTGCCTCCCTTGAGAGACAGAGCCTCTGGGCTCTAGCCTCCTCCCAGTGGGCAAGGGGAAGGTACAGGGAACTGAGGCAGACGATTCTGTTGCATTACCAGCAGCGGGTTGATGCGCATGAATGAAGGCCAGCCAGGGTCGGTGGGACTGAAATGGCTAAGGCTACAGGAGTAGGGGTCAGTCCGACGGGTGCCCATTAGGACAGCCTCCAGCTGAGGGTGCTTTTCCTGAAGCTCACCCAGGGCCTGCTTCATGTTGCCCTCAGCTTCTAATACCTGCAGATTATACCTTAGGGAGGAAGAGAACAGAGATGAGCATCAGGGCAAGTTCTGCCCAGACCCTCGTGGAGCCCAAATCTTCAGGTCCCAATACCTCTTGATGGTGTCTTGTAGAAACTGTTCCAACTCAGGGAAAGGTGAGATGCTACGGATGTACAGGATCTGGAGAGGTTTTGGAACATCAGGAAATTTCCTGGGGAGAGTAAGGATCCAGACTTGCCAGGGTGGACAGGAAAACTGCTCTCCAGAGAGCTCAGTATTCTGTTTGGCTACTAGAATCAACACCCACACTTCCCCCACACACACACTTTTTTTGTTTTGTTTTTTTCCAGACAGGGTTTCTCTGTGTAGCCCTGGCTGTACTGGTACTCAGACCTGAACTCACAGAGATCTGCCTACTTCTGCCTCCTGAGTGCTGGGATCAAGCTGTGTGTCACCACTGCCAGACACTCTTAACCCTTTCAGCAAACCCAGACCCACTTCCTCTGAGAAGCTCACTCTGATCTCTTATCCTTGTTTTGAGACAGGGTCTTTCTGTGTAGCCCAGGCTGTCCTATAATTCACTATGTAGCAGCTGGCCTTAAGCTTTGCAACCCTGCTTTTAACATCCCGAGGGCTGGGGTTACAGGTATGTGCCAGTTTGCCTGTTTCATTCCATTCTCAAACTAAGCATGCAAAACAACAACAAAAAAAACTGGGTTTAGGGGCTGGAGAGATGACTCAGAGGTTAAGAGCACTTACTGCTCTTCCAGAGGTCCTGAGTTCAATTCCTAGCAACCACATGGTGACTCACAACCATCCCTTATGAGATCTGGTGCCCTCTTCTGGTGTGCAGATATACATGGAAGCAGAATGTTGTATACATAATAAATAAATAAAATCTTAAAAAAAAAAAACAAAACAAAAAAACAAACAAAAAACTGGGTTTCACAGATTGGCCTGGAACTCACTTTATAGACCAGGCTAGCCTCAAATCATAGCAGTCCCCACTGCCTCTCTGTTGTGATTAAAGACATTCACCACCACACCCAGCTGAGACTGTTTTTAAGACAGAGGTTTAAAAAACTCAAGGGCTGCCCGGCGGCGGTGGTGGTGCATGCCTTTAATCCCAGCACTCAGGAGGCAGAGGCAGGCGGATCTCTGTGAGTTTGAGACCAGCCTAGTCTATAGATCGAGTTCCAGGACGACCTCCAAAGCCACAGAGAAACTCTGTCTCAAAAAACAAACAAACAAACAAACAAAAAGCCGGGCGTTGGTGGTGCACACCTTTAATCCTAGCACTAGGGAGGCAGAGGCAGAGGCAGGCGGATCTTTAAGAGTTCAAGGCCAGCCTGGTCTCCAAAGGGAGTGCCAGGATAGGCTCCAAAGCTACACCAAGAAACCCTGTCTTGAAAAAACCAAA